GTGTCCGCAGAACAGCCAAAGCCCCAGGATCGCTAATGCTGGGGAGGAGGCCAGCGCCGCCTGCAAATCTGCGACCCTCTCTGGAGCCGTCGTTCCTATTACCGGAGGCCGTGGTGAGCGCCGGTGGCTGCTTTTGACAAAACTGGCCAGACAGGTGTCATTTGGGTTAAAAACATCAAAACCTGCAGCAGTTTATATTTCTCTGCATGTCATTTTGAGCACTTGCTCTATTGTTCCAGACAACTTCCAGAAGCTGACCCTGTAGTTCCTGGTTCAGGGCTGAGCAACGACACACAGAACACAGAACAATAAACACGAGTAAGAGAATAATCGTGTTTAAAAAAAAAAATGCACTGCACTGCAGTGACCAGGCCAAGCACCCAGCGGCTGGAAATCAGCCCGGAAAACAAAGGCCCGGCCGCCCATCCAGTCAGCAGCAGCCGGAGCGACGTGTGCAGCAGGTGCAGCGCGCAGGCAGTCCTTGGAGCCCGCGAGGCCCCCGCGCACCATCGTGGGGCCTGTGGTTCCCGCAGACTCAGGTCAACCCGACTCCGGCGGAGGCTTGGGGACAGCCTCCTTGTCCTTGCCTTTGGGGCCTGGGGTGGGCCCCAGCCGTGCACCCTGCGCCCTGCGTGGCTCCAACTGCCCTGGGCCCTGTGGCCACCGCTGCTGGAGCGCGAGCCCAAGCCCCAAAACATGGAAAACGATTAGATTTTTTTCCCTCGTGGGGCAGCCTGGGTGGCTCAGCAGTTTAGCACTGCCTTCGGCCCAGGGTGTGATCCTGGAGACCCTGGATCAAGTCCCACATCGGGCTTCCTGCATGGAGCCTGCTTCTCCCTCTGCCTGTGACTCTGCCTCTCTCTCTCTCTCTGTGTGTGTGTCTCTCATGAATAAATAAATAAAATATTTTTTAAAAAAAGATTTTTTTCCCTCGTCAGCATTTGATTTAGGAGATTTCCAAACATACAGCCAAGTTTAAGTAATTTTGCAGCGAACACCATCCCTAGAACCTGTGCGTCTGTCACTTCACACGGCAGAAGGGACCTTGCAGATGGATTAGGTCAAGGACCCTGAATGAGGGTGACCCTGGATTCCCCAGAGGGCCCAGTCACCTGACAAGGGTCCTTATAAAAGCGTCAGGAGGGTCAGAGTTGGAGGAGATGCTGCAAGGGAAGCAGAGGCCAGGATGCGGCGACCGCAAAGGGCAGGAACAGGATGGCCCTGGGGCCAGCGAGGGGCAGGCGGTGCTGGGACCACCACGGTGTGTGCGCCAAGCCAGTCGTGGGGGGGGCAGCGAGCCGCCAAGCCTGGAGAGGAATTGTCCCCCCCGCAGTCGTCGCCCCGTCCTTCACTGTCTCCTGGCCCGGCCTGTACAGGGGCCCCCCCAACTGGCACGGCGCCTCGATTTCAGCCCCAGGACCCCGCCAGCCCCCGGCCCCCCACACCCGTCGGGGACTAGTGTTTAAAGCCACCGCGCTTGTGATTGTTCTCACACCTCCATTTGCAACCGCGGCCACCGTGGATGCTGTGGGCATCACTGCCAGGGTCCGGGCTGGAGGCTTAGGTTGGCAGGTGAGACGAATATGAAGTTACACGAGTTACAATCGGGATCTTCAGAAACGTACAGGTTCACCAAGCAGTAAAAGAAAATATAAAATTAGGGATCCCTGGGTGGCGCAGCGGTTTGGCGCCTGCCTTTGGCCCAGGGCGCGATCCTGGAGACCCGGGATCGAATCCCATGTGGGGCTCCCGGTGCATGGAGCCTGCTTCTCCCTCTGCCTGTGTCTCTGCCTCTCTCTCTCTTTCTCTCTCTGTGACTATCATAAATAAATAAAAATTAAAAAAAGAAAATATAAAATTATATTTTGGGCGAAGGACTGAACACTCAGCCAGGTGTCTTTGTTTTTTTTTTTTTTAATTTATTTTATTTTATTAAGATTTTATTCATTTATGGGCAGCCCTGGTGGCTCAGCGGTTTGGCGCTACCTTTAGTCCAGGGCGTGATCCTGGAGGCCCGGGATCGAGTCCCACGTCGGGCTCCCTGCATGGGGCCTGCTTCTCCCTCTGCCTGTGTCTCTGCCTCTCTCTCTCTGTGTGTGTGTGTCTGTCATGAATAAATAAATAAATAAATATATAATCTTTAAAAAAATAATTAAAAAATATTCTATTCATTTATTCATGAGAGACGCAGATGCAGAGAGAGACACACCCAGAGAGAGGCAGAGACACAGGCAGACGGAGAAGCAGGCTCCATGCAGGGAGCCTGATGCAGGCCTCGATCCCGGGACTCCAAGACCATGCCCTGGGCTGAAGGCAGGCGCTAAACCGCTGAGCCACCCCGGGATCCCCAGCCAGGTGTCTTTGGAGGAGGTTCTGCACGTGTTTCCGGCCCTTTGGTCTCCACAACAATTACTCAAATCTGCCCCGGAACCTGGGAAGCGGGCATGGACGACATGCAAACGAATGGGCCTGGCTGTGTGCCAATAAAACCTTATTTACAACAACAAGTGAGGGGCTGGGTGTAGCACACAGGCAGGTCATGTTTGCTGAGGACATCCTTTTTTTTTTTTTCTTTTTTTAAAATACTTTATTTATTTATCCATGAGAAACACAGGCAGGGGCAGAAGCTGGTTCCCTGTGGGGAGCCCGACCTGTGACTCGATCCGATGACCCTGGGGTCATGCCCTGAGCCGAAGCCAGACGCTCAACCGCTGAGCCCCCCGGGAGTCCTGGGACACCTGTTGTAGAGTATTGTTAGAGACAAATCGGAAATAGCAATATGAACTCACACTCTTCAGAATTGATCATGTCCAACTGATCACTTAAGTAGCTGTTAAGCAGTTTTGCACCAAATATCAGTGCACAGGAACTGAAGAGGTGTCCCCAGTACCCAGTATCCACAGTCACGGATGCTCCTCTCTGCCCCAGGGAACGTGGGCTCTCTGGAAAATAGTTGGTTTTGCATCTTGAGGCCAGGAGGGCGCACTGCGGGCGTGGACCATCATTGCCAGGAGGCAGGGGTGCTTCTCCACATCCTGGGGGATGGTGAAGGCCCACACGGGAGCCCGCACAGAGGTATCCTTCATCAATAATGATTATAACTAATTATTATTTTTTAATTTTTATTTATTTATGATAGTCACACAGAGAGAGAGAGAGAGAGAGAGAGAGAGAGAGAGGCAGAGACACAGGCAGAGGGAGAAGCAGGCTCCATGCACCGGGAGCCTGACGTGGGATTCGATCCCAGGTCTCCAGGATCGTGCCCTGGGCCAAAGGCAGGCGCCAAACAGCTGCACCACCAGGGATCCCGATTATAACTAATTAAAACTACCTGAGTCTGAATGCCATGAATCCAAAATTATCTTTAAAAGGCAAGAACAAAGTTTATACTGTATCCAGGCCTGATTCATTCAGATGAACCAGTTTTTAGCATCCCCACATAAAAAGTCTGGGATCTTTTTATACCATGAGATAGATTCAGGGTGATCCCAACTATATAAAAAGATTCTATGGGGGTCCCCGGGTGCCTCACTGGCTTAGTGCCTGCCTTCAGCCCAGGGAGTAACCCTGGGGTCCCGGGATCGAGTTCCGCATCGGGCTCCCTGCAAGGAGCCTTCTTCTCCCTCTGCCTGTGTCTCTGCCTCTCTCTGTGTCTCTCATGAATAAATAAATAAAATATTTTTAAAAAAGATTCTACTGTTTGTAAAAAAACAAATGAGGAACAAAAGGCCAATAAAGAAATACACTAAAGCATTAACACTAGTTATTTTCGGAGAGTTAGACCACAGGTGATCGTCATATTCTTTTTTGCATTTTTCTGGTATTTCCATGATTCCTTCCTTTATTTTTCGTACTTTATTTATTTATTTATTTATTTATTTATTTATTTATGAGAGACACAGAGAGGGCAGCCTCGGGGGCGCAGTGGTTTAGTGCCGCCTGCAGCCCAGGGTGTGATCCTGGAGACCCGGGATCGAGTCCTGCGTCGGGCTCCCTACATGGAGCCTGCTGCTCCCTCTGCCTGTGTCTCTGCCCCTCTCTCTCTCTGTATTTCTCATGAATAAGTAAATTAAAAAAAATCCTTAAAAAAAAAAAGAGAGACACACAGAGAGAGAGAGACTCAGGGTTGTCATGAGAAGTGAGGGACAGTGCAAAATTAAACCGTGGAGCCCTTTGTTCCAAAATTATTACCCATGTCAAGATTGTGACAGCAGAGCCTGAAGTCTAGTGCTGGGCCCTGGATGAGCCCTTGGACGGCGCCCAGTGACGCTGGCTGCAGGTGGGATCCACAACAGGGGGGCCCATTCCAGGTCTGCTTTGGGGGTGAAGAGCTGATCAGGGGGTTTGAACTGAGACTGGACACCGAGGTGGGATGCCTGGCCTGGGGCTGCCCTGGGTGTCATTGGGCCGTGCACCCCTGCCCCCAACAAAAATCCCTTCTCCGTGGCAGTGAGCAGGCCTGAGCCCGCGGGTGTGTGTGTGTGTGTGTGTGTGTGTGTGTCTCCCAGACACTTATCAGGTGCTAAGTCGTCGCAGATGTTGTGGGAGCGTGTCCTGGAGTCCTGTGTGCAGGTAAGGGCCCCGGAGAGCCTCAGCCCACCTGCGGGGATGACCCGTCTACCCAGGGGTCGCCTGCCTGTGGCTCCAGACCCCAAGACGCTCTTCCTGACTCCGGCTCGGGTCGCAGCCCCTCCTGCAGGAACCCCTCCGCCTGGCTGCCGCCCTCCCCCCGCCCCCGGGTTTCTGCTCCCCCGCCTCCCGAGTCCCCTGCTGCTGGGGCACCCGGCACCTCGCCCCTGCGCGGGCCCGCGGGCTGCCACCGGCCGCTCCGCCCGGCTGCACCTGCCCCAGGGCTCGCTGGCTCCGCTCCTCCCCCGCCCCCGCGCCTTGGCCACGCCCCCGCGCTCTAGCCCCGCCCCCGCGCAGCTGGCCCCGCCCATCCGCTCCCCCGGCCCCGCCCCGGCCCCGCCCCGGCCCCGCCCGCCCCGCCCACCGCCCCGCCCCGCGGCCGCCGCACCGACAAGATGGCGGCGGGTGGGAGCGGCGGGCGCGCGTCGTGCCCGCCGGGGGTCGGCCCGGGCGCGGGGGGCGGCCCGGGGCCCAGCGCCAACGCCGCCGCGGCCCCCGGCAACGCGGCCGCCGCCGCCGCCCCGGCCCCCGCCGCCCCCGGGCCGCCCCCCGCGCCTGCGCCTGCGCCGGGGCCGGGGCCGGGGCCGGGGCCGGGGCCGGGGTCGGGGCCGGGCGCGCAGGCCGCGGCGGGCGGGGAGCGGGCGGCCGAGGAGCCGGGGGCGGCGGCGCTGCTGCGCGAGCCCGTGTACAACTGGCAGGCCACCAAGCCCACGCTGAAGGAGCGCTTCGCCTTCCTCTTCAACAACGAGGTGCTCTGCGACGTGCACTTCCTGGTGGGCAAGGGGCTCGGCGCGCAGCGCATCCCGGCGCACAGGTGGGCCCCCGCCCCGCAGGCCCCCGCCCCCGCCGCCCGCCCGCTGACCCCCGGGACCCCCCGCCCGCTGACCCCCGGGACCCCCCGCAGGCCCCCGCCCGCTGACCCCCGGGACCCCCCGCCCGCTGACCCCCGGGACCCCCCGCAGGCCCCCGACTGGCGACGCCCCCCCTGCCGCCCCGTCCATGCTCTCCAGGCACCGCCACCCACCCGCTGCCCCGTGACCCGCACCAGGGGCCCATCCTCTCCTCCGCGGGGTGACGCTCAGTGCCCCGAGCCCTGACCCCCCAGCCCCCAGGCCTCTCCGGCTGGCCCAGGCCCCGTCCCCAGGCCGCGGGGCGGGGGGGGGGGGGCTGCTGTCAGACCTGGTCACTCGGGTGTCCCCACTGTCCTCCAGGGAGCTGGGGGTGGGGCCGGCTGCGGGGGCTGCCCCTGGCCTGGAGGTCCGCAGCCTCCCTGCCCCCCCCCCCCACATGTGGCCTTTCTTTCACCTGCGCCGTTTGAGATTTTTCTTTCTGGCTTTTTCTTGGTTATTTATGTGTAACTGGATCTAGATTCCTGTCCGCAGAAGGTTCCAGGCCTGTGGCTGGGTCCCCAGGACCTCCCGTGGCCCCTCCCTCCCTGTGTGTGTGTCCCTGCCGCTCGCCCTCCCGCAATGCCCACGCGGGCCTCACCCGCACCCAAGCCTGCAGTAGGGGGGCTGGTCCGTGTGCCACCTCACCCCCCACTTCCTCCCTCATGCCCGCCCGGCTCCTAAATACTGCTCAGCCTGGCCTTAAAGGCTGTTCCCCTTCTCCACCAGTCTTGAGGGGACACATGGAAACATGAGATGCGTCCGGCGAGGCTGCATGAGCTCAGGTGCCTGTGACCCGAGCCCCTGGGGGATGGGGCCAGGTGGGCGCAGCCGGAAACCCCACAGGGAGCTGGAGAGGGGACCTCAGGGTTCCTTCTTCAGGGGAGCAAGCCCCCCCCCCGCACCTCTAACCTCAGGACCTGTACTCGACTGTGTGCCTATTGGTGAAGTAGGATGAGGGAGGTGGGCCTGGGGACCCCAGGGAAGGGGGGGCGGGTGTGGAGTGGCTGGGAGCAAGCGCTCTGCCGATAAGGTCAGCGGGCATATTTGGTGAGATTTTCTGGGAGCAGGAGGGGGATACAGGCCCCAGCAGGGGATGATGGGGATCCATATCCTGAGCAGGGTGGGGGGCAGGGGCTGGAGACCGGAGGAGCTGGGCCCGCAGGAGCCAGGCAGGGGCAAGGGGCAGGAGCGCCAGAGGGACAGCGTCCGCCCTGAAGGGGGGAGCGGCCACAGGTGGAGCCCACAGGCACCTGGGGGGCGGTAGGAGCAGCAGCGGGGGGCTCAGGCTCCCCTGAGGGGGGTGGCAGCGGCGGACCCCGACCCAGGCTTCAGCATCCTGGGGTGGCCGGCAGTGGCAGGGACACCTGGAGGGCGGAGCCCCCTGGCCGCAAGCAGGCCTTGGCCCTGTGTCCTGGTCTGTGGCAGGCGGGACCCAGCGGTGGGACGGGGGTGGGGCTTAAGAATGAGCCTCCCCGCAGGTGGGGTCTGGGATGAGGCTCCCCTGGGCGCGGGGTGGGGGCTCCACCTGACATTCGCCTGCAGACTGGCCCACCCGCGGACCCGTGCTTCTCAGGCCCCCGCGGCTCCGTGCCGGAGCCTGGCTCCCCGGGAGCACCTTGCGGGTCCCTGCAGCGCCGATCGTCCCCCGGGCCCTTGCTGCCTGCGTGTGCGTGACGTCAGCGGGTCCAGGTCCGGCGGATGGCCCGCTCCTGTCCCGTTGCCCCGGCATGATGCCGCACTCCAGACTCGACTGACAGAAGGTTCTAGTTCTTTTTGTTTTCAGCCTTTGGGATGTTATTTTGTACCCAGTGGTGAAATGTTACCTGTGGGGATGAGGCAGTGACCCTGGGCTTCCCGTGCCTCAGTTTCCCTGCCTGTGAGCCAGGGCTGACCACTCAGATGCCTCCACCCCAGGACCTCTGTGAGGATGGACTTGGTGACCCAGCCAGTGGTTATCAGCTGGGCTGGGGTGAGCTTGAATACAGGGGGGCACCTGCTCCAGGGCTGACGTCAGCGGCCCGGAGGCCGTGGTGGGAGCAGCAGTGGCTGCATCCGGGCGGGGGATGGGGGCTCGGAGCCCCGCTGGTGCAGGGGTGCTCCCCGCCCGGCCCCCGCCCCCCCCTGCTCCTTAGGGCTGGATCTGGGGACTTGCTGGTAGAGAAGTGAGCGGAAAGCGGCGGACGGTAACGCAATGGTGGGGAAGGCAGATGTACCCCCTTAGCCGGGGCTCGAGGTCAACCTGAGAGTCATGTCGGGTGGCTTCAGGGGCCCCTGGTGGGATGGGACCTCAGGGCACCTGGCCTCCGTGTGTTCTTGCCCCAACCCATAACCCCAGGGTAGTGGGTTCAGGGTTCACTGTTGGCCCCACAGATGTGTGTCCCCGTCCGCGTCCCTTAAACCGCGAGTGTGACCTGATTTGGAGAAAGGATCTTGCAGAGGTGATTAAGGGAAGGGTCTGGAGACGAGCTCATCCGGGTTATCCGGTGGGCTCTAAACCCAGTGACACGTGTCCTCCTAAGAGGCACAGGGGACAAGCCCCGTGGTGAGCATGGGGCAGGCACTGGGGTGCTGTGGCCGCTCACCAGGAGCCCCAGACCCGGAGCTGGAAGGGGCAGGGAGGACCCTCGGCGGGGCCCTGCCCACCTCCGTCTGGGACTTGTGCTCCGGGACTGGGAGGGGGTGAAATGCTGTTGTCTCGGGCCGCTCAGCCGTCCCGGGAAACCGAAATACCCAGACCGAAGAGCACCCGACAAACCCACATCGGGGACTTGCAGCGGGACACCTGGCCAGGTGGCTGTCAAGGTCACGAGAAGCCCGGAAAGGTGACTCACGCTAGAGGCACCTGAGGAGGTGACCGGATGTCACGTGGGACCCCAGGTGGTATCCCAGGGTGGAGGGAGGTGACGGGCACCCCCGCTGAGGCTGACCCCAGAAAGCAGAGTGGGGGAGGGGCTGGGGGAACTGCAGGGCAGGCCCTCCCGTCGGGGCCCAGGGCCCGGGTTGGGTGGGCGTGGGCCGGGCTCACAGTGGCTTGGGCGCTGGGTGCAGGCTGGTGGGGGGACAGGGCGCTGGGCCCTCCTAGAGGCTGTGCTTGGCCTCCGCCTTGTACTTGGTCCCCCCTTTGGCTCTGAGCCCGTGATGACGGGCACCCCCGTCGTGGCGCGCAGGGCCGGGAGGAGGCCCCGCGTGTGGCTGGTGCCCCGGGAGGAGCTCTCGGCCTGACCCGGCTGCGCCGAATCGGCGTGTGTGCACGTGTGGGCGGCTCCGAGGACGTCCTGAGCGCCCCGGGGGGGCAGCACTCCTGGGTGAGGGGTCGCAGGGCCGGAGCCGCCCACGGACGGTTCACTCGCGGGCGCTCCACCCAGGTCTTGTTTCACTGATTGCTCCCGCAGGATCGGAGCCTGCTCCGGTGTTGTCAGGACCGCTGAGGCCCGTCCCCAGTTGTGCTTTGTCCCGACTTCGGGCTGGTCCCGGTCGCCCATGGGCATCGTCGCCCCCGCCCCACCTGCGCCACACACGCCGGCCGCCCGGTGGGCGCACACCGCCTCCGGCCGCTTACTTCGTGGTGCCCAGCGGGCCGCAGGGGCGGTGTGTGCGGCAGGGACCCAGCACAGCCGCGTGTGCAAATAAACCTTTATTTGCAGAAACAGTGTCGGGGTCGTCCGGCCCCCAGGCAGGCGGGGCCCCGAGGCCTCTGGAGTCAGCGCGTCAAGTGCTGAAGGAATTTCCTGGGGCGATGGCCCTGGCGTACCAGGCTGGGGAGAGTGGGGCGCGGGGTGGGAGTGGGAGCGCTCTCCGTTTGTTCAGGGCATTTTCTCGTGTTCCTAGGATGGTTTTGCACGTTTATAGCTGAGTTTTGCTCACTTCTTTTTTTTCCTTTTTGTGAATGACGTTCATCGCATATCCAGGTTCTTGCGGGGAAGCTGAGTGGTCCCGACCTGTTTACGTCTACCTGATGTGAATGATTTCTGTGTGAACCCTTGTTCGTGTTCACGGCCGTTCAGTGGGTTCTGTGGTCTGGCGCCGTCCGGTAGACTTTTCTATGATCCTGGGAAGGTTCTAGGTTTATGTCATCCTGCGCTAGCTGCACGTGGCGACTTGAAATATAGCTGTCGGAACTGAGGAGTTGTACTTTTAAATTAATTAATTTTGAAAGATATTATTTATTTATTCATGAGAGACCCAGAGAGAGGCGGAGACAGAGGCAGAGAGAGAAGCAGGCTCCACGCGGGGAGCCTGATGCGGGACTCGATCCCGGGACCCGATCCCAGGACCCGGGGTCACGCCCTGGGCTGAAGGCAGGCTCTCCACCGTGGAGCCCCCTGGGCGTCCACTCCCCTAACCTAATTTAATCTTAATTTGGATTTATTTATTTTTTAATTTTTTTAAAAAATTTTTATTTATGTATGATAGTCACAGAGAGAGAGAGAGAGGCAGAGACACAGGCAGAGGGAGAAGCAGGCTCCATGCACCGGGAGCCCGACGCGGGACTCGATCCCGGGTCTCCAGGATCACACCCTGGGCCAAAGGCAGGCGCCAAACCACTGTGCCACCCAGGGATCCCTTAATTTGGATTTAAATGGCCTGTGTGTCCAGGAGCAACCACGTTGGACGGCGCAGCCCTAGAATTTCAACATTGGGAAACCAGGTCCCGTGCAGCTGGTTCCCCTTCCTCCCTCCTGTTTCTGCCTCCCGGGCTCCTCCTCCGGCGCGGGTGGCTCTGCTCCCCGGGGGGCAGGAGCCCCTGTGCTTTCCCAGACAGGTGTGGCCCGGGTGCTGGTGTGCTCCCTGCTGGCTCAGTGTCCGTGGGGCAGGGTGCAGGGAGCCACCAGGCCCCTTCCGCGGAGTGGCCTGTTGGCCTGACCGTGTCCACACAGAAGGCGGCGAGGGCAGTGTGAGCGGGGCCGCCGCCCCCAGAGCTCGCCTCCTGCGTGCTCGCCGTCCCGACCCGCCGGCCGTTCTCCAGTTCTGCTGACTTAGGAATTCCATGTAATCAGAGTGCGTCATCTTCGGTCTGGCTTCTTTATGGTTTTGGAGATCCATCCACGCGGTGTGCGTATCCCTACGTTCGGCCCTTGAGCGACGCGGGTGGGTGGAGGCGCCTCCCCCGCAGCCAGAAGTCCGGGTGTCGCGTTCCAGGCCTCAGAGCTCACCTGCCGCCGCCTGGGGTGGACGGGGAGCCTGGGGCAACGCGGACCGTGGATTAACACGGGTCCATCTGCGTCCCGGATCGTGTGCTGTGTCCGTGGATTGGAGGGCATCGTCAGGACGAGCGGGACGGTGCTGCCCTCGCCGAGGAGCAGCCGCGCCCTGAAGCCCACGCGGCTCAAGGGCCAGCCAAGCGCGGCTCCTTTTCCTTTATGTTTTAATTTAGTTCCGTCTCCGTGGGGGGAGGGGATCCCAGGCAGGCTCCCCGCTGGGCTGCTCCGCCCTCCCGTCTCGGGGCGAGTCTGCCCAGGTCGCTGTGACTTCTGAAATGGGGGCTTCCCTTTGGGGAGAGGTTTCCCGGGCTGCTGTGTGTCCCCGCCCCTCCGTGCGGCGCGTTGGCGCCCGCGGCCCCGAGGATGTCATCCGGGCGTCCGAGCCGTGTGTCTTCGCCACGGCAGACCGCCTTGCAGACCCTTCACGTCCGTGGGCTCCCCGCGCCCCGGGGCCCTGGCTCGCGGCTTCCTTCTGCCCGGTGGTTGGGCCTGCCCCCCGTTGTCCGGGCCCCTGGGCCGGGAGCCCCCTTCGCCGTCTGCCTTGGGCGTCTGGGGACGCGGCCGGGCGGGCCCGTGACCATCCCTGATGCTGGCGCCCTCGGACTGCCTCGTCCTGCCCTCGGGCCTGTTGGGCTCACCTGTGGCCCTCCCCAGGGCTCAGCTGGGGGAGGACAGTCCCGGTCACGGTGGCTTTCTGTGTCGTCGCTGCCTCCGCGTCTGGTCGCCGAATTCTAGAGGGAGGCGCCGTCCCTTCTCCCTTGTCCCCACTCGCTAATGACATGCTGGTCCATCCTCACGGCCTCCGGGCTCTGCCTCACCATCTGTCTTACCGCGTGGCGCCCCGGATGTGGCCGCCGGGAGCGCTCGGCCTTGGCGCCGCGTCCTCCAGCGCGGGTCCCGCGGCCCTGCGGTCCTGCCCCCGGGCCTTGGCCTCCCCGGTGCGTTGCTGTGGGTCGCGGGTGCGGGGCTTCCCTGGCCCCCAGCCACACAGACCGGCCCGGCCGCCGCCCCTCGGGGCCCCTGTCCCCGCCTCGTTCAGGTGGCTCGTCATTGCTCTGCTCTTAAAGTTTTTAAATCCGGGTGAAATATTCGTAACATGAGATTCACCGCCGTAACCGTCTGCGTGCACAGCCCGGGGCCGGAGCGCGCTCACCCCGCCGCGCACCACCCCCACTGTCTCCAGAACCTTCCATCTCCCTACATGGAGCCCCCGCCCCCCCCCCGCCCCCGGCTCCCACCACGTCCTGTCTCTGTGGATGGGCCTCCTCTGGGGACCTCCTGGGAGTGGGGTCCTGCGGGAGGAGTCCTTCTGGGTCTGGGTCCCCTCCCTGAGCCCGGTGTCCTCGGGGTCCGTCCACGTGGGGGCAGGTGTGGGGCCCCTTCCTGCCCGGGGCTGGGTCACATCCCGGGTGTGGACGGACCGCTCTGCTCCCATGGATGGACACCCGGTGCTGCCTGTTTTGGCCACGGGGACGCCAGCTCTGAACACAGACGTGCCCTGGGTGTGAAACCTCTGAGTCACGTGGTGCTGGTATGTGGCCATCAGAGGAGCCGCAGCCACACCAGGGTCCTGCTGTCTCTGCATCCGTGTCACCTTGTCATGGTCTCTGAGTGTCCTCTGGGCCGCCGTTGGCAGGCTGAGCTGGCGTCTCCCCGGGGCACCTGCACCTGGGAGGAGGGACCGTGACCCGGGGGCCAGCAGGCGGGGGGGCTGAGGTAGGGGTGAGGAGAGGGCCGGGGGGCGGGGGGGTAGTGGTATGGGGCCGATCTGCGGCCCGTGCGGTGGCCTGTCCAGGGCCCTGTGACAGCGTCAGGCGGGGGTTGCACCCCCCCAGGTGCGGGCAGCGGCCTCTCCTGCAGGCGATCAAGGTGCTTGTTTAAATCTGGAAAGAAAGGAACAGGAAGGCACCTGTTTAGGATGGATGGCGGGATGGATGGCCTGTGGGAGAGCAGAGGGGCCGGCCGCCCGCCCCAGTGAGCGCGGGGGGGCGGGGGGAGGCCAGGGTGGAGAGCAAGGAGGCCCGGGTCGCAGGCCGCACTGCCTCCCGGGCTCCGGGGGGGCCCTTCCTGGCCCCGCTCCTGGGGCCTGCGTGTCCCCGGGTGGTGGGCTCGTCCCCCGGTGTCTGCGCCTGTGTCCCGAGGCCCCTCTTACGAGGACGCGGGCATGGGGTCGGCCCCCGTAGGACGGAGACTGTTTCCAAGTGAGACCCTCCTGCGGCTCTCCGGGTGGACGTGACTTTGACTTTGGGGGAGGCCGTTCGCCCCGGTGTCCTCGGTTCCCATCGGGCCGTCTCGGGTCTGGTCCTCGGGCCCGGTCAAGCCCCGCGCGCCCTGCGGCCCCCTTGGGGCTGGGAGATGCGCCCGGGGGGAGGAGATGGTGGGGGCTGGGGCAGGGCGGGGGCCTCCAGCCGGGGTCGCGGGAGCCTTGGGCAGGCTGCTCTGAGCCCTGCGTGTGTCGGGGTGGGGACCCCGGGGTGGGTGTGACGCGGGGCCCGTGGACCTGGGTCCGGCCCTCATGGGCGTCCAAGGTGGGGGGGGGGCAGCGCCAGCCTGGGCTGGGTCAGGAGGCCCCCGACCCCCCAGCCCCGGGCAGGGGTCCAGCGGGGTGCCTCACGGCTTGTCCTCACCCACGGGGTGCCTGTCCTCGAGTGGAGAGGACACGGCCGGTGGGGCCCACATGGTCACCTCGCGGCCACCACCTCGTAACGCTGCCTGGGCTCCTGCCCTTCCCTGGGCCCCCGCCTGCCCGGGGCCCTGCCAAGCCTTCCCCGACTCCCCCCCAGGCCGTGCCCTTGACCGGGTCTGCCCCCTGGGCGAAGGCGGGATGGGCGCTGCGGGGGCGGGGGGTGCGGGGCGGGGATTGCACGTGTCCGCCCGCCCCTCGCCACCTTCCTTCTGGAATCATCTGCCAGCAGTGCTCGCGGCCGGTGTCTGCTCTGTGCTGGGCCCCGGCGCCCCAGACTCGGGGCCGGGAACCGGCGGGCGCGTGGAGGGTCACCGGGCTCCTCTCTGACGCCAGGTTCGTGCTGGCCGTGGGCAGTGCCGTGTTCGACGCCATGTTCAACGGGGGAATGGCCACCACGTCCACGGAGATCGAGCTGCCCGACGTGGAGCCGGCCGCCTTCCTGGCGCTGCTCAAGTAAGACTTTCTAGATCTTTCACCGTGGGGTGGGGCGGGGCAGCCTGTCGCTGTCAGAAAGTAGCCGGAGGTAAGGAGACTCCCAGGGACAGCGCCTGAGCCCCGGCCCCGCGGGATCTCCAGAACCGCCTGTGCAGCGGGGGGGGGGGGGGGGGGGGGGGGGTGCCCTGGAGGCCCCGCCCCACTGTCACGTGTGTGTATCTCGACGTGTGCTGCACACGCGTACGGCTCACCCATTCCCGGTGTGCTCCGCGCTGGTCTCCACTGCGTCCCCAGGGTTGGCGTCTCTCTGCACCTGCTAACGCCACCTCCCGTCACCCCCCAGCCCCCGGCCCCCCAGCGCCCCTCCCCGTCCTGGATGGGTCATACCCGTGGACTCACACCCCGTGGGGCCTCCTGTGTCTGGTCCCTCCAAGAGCGTCGGGGGCGCGGGCGCGTCCCGGGCGAGTCCCCGTTCTCACCCTGTCGTCAGCAGGGGCTTTGGAAGAAGTGAGGTCACCTCCACCTCCAGGTTTTCCTTCTTGAGCCTCAGCAACATTCCCTCCCGGGGCTAGTGGAAGAGCAGCGGCGCGTGGGGCGGGGGCGGGGCGGGGCGGGCTGCGGCGGAGCAGGGCTGAGGGGCCCCGGGGCGGCTGTCCCCAGGGGCTGTCCCCACTCCGCGGGGCGCGGGCTCCAGCTTCCAGAAATGCCGAGGGTAAAGGGCGTGGGGACTGACAGTCTGCCCCACGCAGGTAAAACATCTTTTGAAACGCAGAGTTTTTTTCTCTTATGATTATAAAGATGACGTAGGCTCGCAGAGGGAGAGGAAGGAAGAAGGAAGGAAAAGATAGAGAGGGGAGCTGCCCCCATCCGCCGTGCCCACGCGGGAGGCCTGCCTGTGCGTCTGGGGCGGCCGCCCTCTGCCCTGTGCCCTCCTCCCTCCCCCCTCCCGCCGGCACAGCTCACTGATGGGCAGCAGTTTGGGGAACAGTCTCATGGGTTTGTCGTCCCGTAGCTCCTCAGGTTGCCTACACCTGGGGCACGTGGACTCCGTCTCCACCACTCACCCTGCCGCTGCCATCGTGAAAGCAGCCACGAGGATTTGTAAACGGTGGGGGAGGCCATGTGCCAATAAAACTTCATTTACAAAACAGGTGACAAAACCATGACGAGCTATCGAGCTATCACTTCGTACCCACCAGGGCAACTGTGATGAAAAACAAAAGGAAGGAACAAGGATCAGTGAGGGGTGGGGGTTGGGGCCCTTGTGCACGCGGCCGGGGGGGACGTGAGACGGGCCGCCTCTGCGGGAGTCAGGAGGGCCCTCAGGAGGCTTGCACGCAGGTCACGTGGGACCCAGCAATCCCACTCCTGGATATCTTTTTTTTTTTTTTAAGATTTTATTGGACACCTGGGGGGCTCAGCAGTTGAGTGTCTGCCTTCGGCCCAGGGCGTGACCCCGGGGTCCCGGGACCGAGTCCCACATCCGGTTCCTCGCAGGGACCTGCTTCTCCCTCTGCCTGTGTCTCTGCCTCTCTCTGTGTCTCTCAGGAATAAATACATGAAATCTCCGAGGCGGGACTCAATCCCAGGACCCCGGGGTCACATCCTGAGGCCAAGGCAGACGCTTAACCACTGAGCCACCCAAGTGTCCCCACTCCTGCAGCTCTAGGAGAGTCCTAAAAGCAGGGGCTTGCACACCCGTGTGCACAGTAGCATGATCCACACAGGGGGACACAATTCAAATGTCCATGCACAGATGAAGGCTAAGCACCACGTGTCTGTCCACACGCTAGAATGTTAACGTGGACGGACCTCAAGGACACCGGGCTCAGGGAGGGGACCCAGACCCAGAAGGACGCCTCCTGCAGGACCCCACTCCCAGGAGGTCCCCAGAGGAGGCCTGTGCACAGAGACAGGACGTGGTGGTGGGAGCCGGGGGGGTAGGGGGGTTAGTGCTTCCTGGGGACGGGGTCTCCGTGTGGGGAGATGGAAGGTTCTGGAGACGGTGGTGGGGGTGGGTGCAGGGTGGGGTGAGTGTGCTTCGTGCCCTGAGCTGTGCCCCTACAGGGGGCTACGGTGGTATAATTCACGCTGTGTACATTTTTTTAAGGTTTTAAGTGATTTGTGTCCCCGATGTGGGGCTTGCACTTGTGACCCCGAGATGACACGCTGCATGCTCTTCTGACTGAGCCAGCCAGACGCCCCCACGTTGTGTGTATTTTATTGCTATTTTAAAAATAAATAAAAGAGACGTTCACTAAAAAACACAGACAGGTGACAGGTTACAATTTGCCAAAACCCTGGCTTCCACTGAACTGCAGCGGGCTGCCTGTCTCCGGCCACAGCCTCCCTCTGGCTCCCCGGGGTTCAGGTCCCTACTGCTGAGCTGCCCCCCCAGGGTCGATGCTGTCCTAGCTGGTGTGTGAGGGGCTCCGTCCTGGCACCCGTGCTGGCCGTCCTGGTCACAGGTGTCCCCTGCTGCACTGCTGACCTCGGGGTTGGGGCCTGGGCGCTGTGGGGTGTCGAGCAGCCTCCCCGGTCACCTCGGGTCTGGGGTCTCCCTGACCCCACAGGATTATAGCTGCTGACGTGTGGGGCTGTGTTTGGCTTCTGGCACATTCTCCGGGGGACGGGGGACCCCGGACATGGGCCCACCCTTCCAGGCTTTGCTCCTGCGGCTCCTTCATTCTGCATTCCCGCTGGCTTCGTACGAGGGACCTGATTCCTCCACCACCTTGTTTTTAAAAAATTTACCCCACTGTCCTGCTTCAAGTCCGGAGGTGGCGCTGGTCATGTGTCCAGGACCTGACTCAGGCTGGCGTTTCTGGTCCTGTAACGTCCAGGCCCGGGGATGAGGAGAGCTCCGGGCATCCCGGGGCAGAGGCCTCCGGAGGGGCCGGTGGCCTTGGGCACTGGGGTCCTGGCCTGGGGGGGTCCCGCCGGGAAGGAAGCGGGCCTGCTGGATAGACCCGTGTCCTGGTGGCCGGTGGGTGGGGTCGCCGCCGGCTAGTCTGGCAGATAAGGGTCTTTGCCAGGTCCTATCTGCGGGGCACAGCGACGGGTGCCGGTTCTGGAAGGCTCTCCGGCTGGGCCGGGGGGCGGGGGCTGGAGCGGCGCCTGCCAGCTGCGTCCGCTGGTCCTAGTGTCCTGTCCCCTTAGGTTTCTCTACTCGGATGAGGTTCAGATCGGACCCGAGACCGTCATGACCACGCTGTACACCGCCAAGAAGTACGCGGTGCCCGCGCTCGAGGCCCACTGCGTGGAGTTCCTGAAGAAGAACCTCCGGGCTGACAACGCGTTCATGCTGCTCACGCAGGTGCGGGGGGGGGGGCATGCGGGGGTCCTGGGGGAGGCAGGAGTTCGGGAGGTTGTGGGGCGCAGGTGCACGGGGGTGGGGGACGCGAGGCCGGGTGAGGATGTGCTTGTGCAGGGCAAGGACATAGGTGCGTGGGCTCCGGCGAGGGGGGGATGAGGGGGCGCAGGGCAGGGGCGGAGGGGGCAGGTAGGGACACGGTGCGCAGGACTAGGGGAGGAGGTGGGTGTGCGGGCGCTTCAGGGCGCGATGCTGTGAGAACGCAGGTGCGCGGGGTGGGGGGGCGAGGAGGGACCCAGAGACTGGAGGCAGGTGAGGGCAGGTGAGGACGCTGGGACGGTGCAAGATGTGGGGGGCGGGGACGGGAGCCAGGGAGGCCCCCGAGGGGGGTGGGGGGGCTGGCGAGGAGGCAGGTGGGGGGTTCGGGGAGTGGGTCTCCGTTTAATATCCCTTAGATTCTGCAGCCGAGCGCCTGCCCCCGCGCCGCGCGCTGACCTGGGCCTTCCAGCTGGGCGCCGGGTTTCCCGCAGGCGTTTGGAGGCCCCTCTTCAGGGTCACGGGTGGGGGAAAGGGTTTTCTCATTTCATTATTCGGTTCCTTTGAGAAGGTCGCTTTCAGGCCCCGTGGCGCCGGGTGTTGGGGTGGGGTTGGCGAGGCCTCGGGGGCACAGGCGGGCAGGGGACAGGCCTGCCGGGGCAGGGGGGCTGTCCCGGGGCGGCCCCCGCACTGTCTCCAGACGCGTGGGTCGTCGGGCGTCCAGGTTGCTCTGCGGGCCCTGAGCCAGGCCTGTCGGGAGGCCCGGAGCTGCCCCGGCAGCCAGGCCGAGGGTGACGTGAGCGGCCGTACGGTTGTGCTGGGCAGGAGCTGGAATCTTCGCCGCCGCCCCGCCCGGCCCCCCATCCTGTGCGCAGGTTCCCGACGGAGCCGTCTCCGGCGGTCAGGGCTGCACTGCGTCCTGTCCCCGGGCTTCCTGCCCCCCCGGGGCCTGTCCTGTCGGCCTCGGCCGGTCCCGGGGCTGCTCAGTCTGGGCACCGTGGCCCCCGCGGGACTTGAACTCCACGGAAGGTTTGAGCCAGAGGGCGTCTGGGGCCCCCGCCCGGGCAGCGTGTTGACGTGCTCCCCCTCGCCAGGCACGACTGTTCGACGAACCGCAGCTGGCCAGCCTGTGCCTGGAAAACATCGACAAGAACACCGCCGACGCCATCACTGCCGAGGGCTTCACGGACATCGACCTGGGTGAGGCCCCGGGGCGGGCCCGGGGTGGGGGATGGCGCCCGCCGAGGGCACGCGGGGCGCTGAGGTGTCCCCTCCCTGCAGACACGCTGGTGGCCGTGCTGGAGCGGGACACCCTGGGCATTCGCGAGGTGCGCCTGTTCAGCGCCGTCGTGCGCTGGTCCGAGGCCGAGTGCCAGCGGCAGCAGCTGCCCGTGACGCCCGAGAACAAGCGCAAGGTGCTGGGCAAGGCGCTCGCCCTCATCCGCTTCCCGCTCATGACCATCGAGGAGTTTGCCGCAGGTAACGGTGAGGGAGTGGGGGCCGCTCGGCAGGAGCACGGCCCCCGGGGGCCCCAGGTGTGACTCGGTCGTGGCGCTCCGGCGGCCGTCCCGAGCCAGCTGCGGGACACCGGTGTGCCCGTTTGCCGAGGACGCGCCCGCTGCGCTCGCGTGGACGGCTGGCAGCCCGTCGGTGTGAACACAGAACAGCCCACCGCCGCCCCCGATGGGCGTCTGGGTTTCCTTCCCTCCACGTCTCGAGTGTCCCTGTGTGTGCGCCCACTGAGGGCCCCATCTCGGGTTCGCGTCCTGGGGATGGGCCTGCGAGGGGTGGGAGGGGGCTGGCGAGGGGGCTGCCCGGCCGGGCTTCCTGCCCCGTGTGGACGCAGTGCTGGCAGCGGTGCCTGACTTGGGGCCGTCCCCCACCCGGGGCTGGAGGGTCCCTGACGAGGCCCCGTGTCAGCCTGGTAGCCGGCGCAGACCTAGGGTCTCGTGTCTCCATGCGCCCCGCTTCCCTGCTCGGCGTTGCCAGATTTAGCAACGACGGTAACTAGCTGTTTAGCGTGAGGATCTGCCGTGTGGGACGCACTGACCCTGCAGACGAGTCCTCTGACCTGAAGCTCAGGCTTCCGGGTCCCGCGTCGTAGCTGGCCTCCGCACGTCTCGTCAGCGTGGGGGCAGAGCTGCGTCCGTTCCGGGATCGCCCGTGCACCTAACGCTTAGCGAGGCCGTGTGTGGGCCAGGCCCTGGCTGTACGCGGTGACCTCGGTGGCCTCGGTGGCCTGGTTGTTGGGGGCAGGGCGCTGTCCTGGGCTGGGAGCACCGTTGTGAGGAGGTGGCCCCAGATACGGCTCAGAGGGCCCGAGGGCACCAGGGTGCCGGAGACAGCTGCCCTGTCCCATCCCAACACCCCTGGGAGCCCTGCGGGGCCCCCATCTCCAGCCTGGCTTGCACCCCAAAACCGCTCTCTCGGGGGTCCACCTGCCTACCTGGCTGCTGAGCCCCCGGGGCCCCAAGCGCTGCAGGTGCCATCTGCTCGCCTTTGGCGTGGGCCCGTCCTGTAAGGCCCCCAGGCCGCGGTGGCCCCCTGCTCTGCCCGGGTCCCCGGGAATGGCACTGCGTGTGTCCTCGGGGCCGGGCTGGGCCTTCTGGGCCTGTGCTCCGTGGAGGGCGCCCACGGGGCCTCGGCCCTCGTCACTCGGCCCGTCGTAGAGGCGCCCCTGCTGCTGTGTCCCGCTGGAAACACGACACTAGAGAAGTTGGCACAGACTCCGCCGAGGCTCCCGCCGGCCGCGCCGCGCCCCCTGTACTTTGCTCCTGCATTCCCGACGCAGAGATTAAAAGAACCATATGGTTACCGGCCGCGTTCCACCTTGTACCTTCCTTGCTCTCCGTGGGGCTGGCGCCCCGGCCCCAGCCGCCGTGTCCGCGCGGTGCTGTCACCAGCCTGCAGAGACCCGCTCCCCGGACCCCCTCCGCCCCGGCCCGTCTCGGGGAGTCGCCCCCGCCCCCCGGGAGCCCGGGCGGGGCGGCCTTGCTGGGGGCCCCGCGTCCCCGCGTGCGCGGCCGCCCCGCTGGCGCCCGACCTCCGCCCCCTGTGCCCGCAGGGCCCGCGCAGTCGGGCATCCTCGTGGACCGCGAGGTGGTCAGCCTCTTCCTGCACTTCACCGTCAACCCCAAGCCGCGCGTCGACTTCATCGACCGGCCGCGCTGCTGCCTCCGCGGGAAGGAGTGCAGCATCAACCGCTTCCAGCAGGTGGAGAGCCGCTGGGGCTACAGCGGCACCAGCGACCGCATCAGGTGGGCCGGCGCGCCGGTGGGGGCCGCGGGGCCGTGGGGCCGGCCGCGGCTCAGCGCCCCCTCTGTCCGCCGCCCAGGTTCTCGGTCAACAAGCGCATCTTCGTGGTTGGCTTCGGGCTCTACGGCTCCATCCACGGGCCCACGGACTACCAAGTGAACATCCAGGTGCGCGCCCCCCCGCCCCCCCGCGGGCCTCCGTGGGGTCGGGGGCTGGTGAGCAGCGCCTGCTCCCCCCACAGATCATCCACACGGACAGCAACACCGTCCTGGGCCAGAACGACACGGGCTTCAGCTGTGACGGCTCCGCCAGCACCTTCCGCGTCATGTTCAAGGAGCCGGTGGAGGTGCTGCCCAACGTCAACTACACGGCCTGCGCCACGCTCAAGGTGCCCACCCCGACCCCAGAGCCTAGCGGGCCGGCGACTCCAGCTCTGCTGCCTCCTGGGGTCACGGGGGGCGGGGCCCCTGGGAGGGGCTGTGCGGCTCGCCCCCGCTGGGGCCCTGGTGCCTGACCGCAGGACCCCCCAACAGGGCCCAGACTCCCACTACGGCACCAAGGGCCTGCGCAAGGTGACGCACGAGTCCCCCACGACGGGGGCCAAGACGTGCTTCACGTTCTGCTATGCGGCCGGAAACAACAACGGCACGTCCGTGGAGGACGGCCAGATCCCCGAGGTCATCTTCTACACCTAGGCCACCCGGCCCGAAGCCACCTGATGCAAGTAGGCCGCCCCCACCCACGCCGCGCCCCCGCGGTCCCCATGCTGTGTGCGCTCCCCGCCGCGGTCCCGGGCGTCAGGAGAGGGTCTCTGCTCCGTGCGGCGAGCCTGGCCGCCTGCTGAGGAGCCGGCGGGGGCTGCGAGGCGGTCCCTCAGGACTCGGGGGGCAGGGCTGGCCTGGACCCGGCCCGAGCTGAGGGTCCACGGGCCCCAGTGCTGCCCGCCGCCCGCCTGGCCACAGGATTGATCGATTCCGCGTCACGTTCTCTCACCGCACACGGCAATGCACCCTGGATTCCCATTCCCCGGTAGGCGGGCTGTGGGGGCGCCCCTAGTGCGTTTGCTTGGGGTCTCGTGTTCTGGTCCGTTCAGTGGGGACGCTGAGGCCACGCTGACCCCGGCCCCCGGCACACTGGCCGAAGCCCCCCGACCCCGAGGTCCTGCAGGCTGGCTTTGTGCCAGGCCCAGGCCCACCCGGTGGGCCCCGTGAGCCGCGGGCGTGGACCTCAGGCCGTCTTCCCGGCCAGGCAGCGCCGGGGGTCAGCCATGGTGGCCAGGTCCCCGCCTGCCCCCTGTACATACTGCAGCCCTGCCCCACCCGGCCTCTGAGTGAGCACTGTGGCCAGAGGTGCTGGAGGGCGCAGCCCCTCCCCTGTCCCCCCCCCCACCCCCCCCCCCCGTGTTTCCACCCCAGTGATCTTCCTGGAAAGTCCTCCCCAAAGCCATGGAAGGTGTGCCCTCCTCACACCATACCCTCAAAGGATTTTTTTTAAATAAAGGAAAGAAACATAACCGCCCTGAGTGCTTCTTCCTGTCGGAGGCAATGGGGCAGGACCCTGGCAGCTGAGATCTGGCTCTTCGCTCTGCAGCCGTTTCTCCCACCTTAAGATTGGGGGCGCCCAGGAAGGGCCTGTGACTTCCGTCTGGGTCTAGAATCCGGCTCCTGACAGACGTCCCAGCCTCGGGGCACCCAGAGCCATTGGGCACTCTCCCCATGCCCTGTCCTCTGCACCAACTTCTGGTCTGCCCATCACACCCCTGCTGTCCAGCAAGGGGGGCCCCCAGGGAAGGCTCTGCTGCAGCGCGCCGCGCCTACACCTTGCTGGCTCTGCCCTCTGGCCCTGGGACCGCGCCTGGCACACGGGAGCTCCCTAGGCTGTGCCTGTGCAGCGAGGGTAACCTGACCCGGGCCCCCCACCTGGCTCCGCCCTGCGCGGCAGGGAGTTCCTGACAACAGGCAGAGAACAGGGCCTGACAGCTAAAAATCTACCCAAATGAATAAAGACATCAATCAGCACATTTAAAAATCTCAATGACCCAAAGTGAGATAAATTTAAAAATATTTTTAGAAATTAGGGCAGCCTGGGTGGCTCAGGGTTTAGCGCCTGCCTTCAGCCCAGGGTGTGATCCTGGAGACCCAGGATCAAGTCCCGCATCGGGCTCCCTGCATGGAGCCTGCTTCCCCCTCTGCCTGTGTCTCTGCTCCTCTCTCTCTCTGTCTCTTATGAATAAATAAAACCTTTAAAACAGTATTTTTAGAAATTAAAAAATAAAAATTCACATATGCTCAAACTGCTAAGAAATGGAAAAAAATCTGAAAAACAGGAGAGGAGCACCTGGGTGGCTCAGTTGGTTAAGTATCTGACTCCTGGTTTCGGCTCTGGCCATGATCTTGGGGTCATGAGATCGAGTCCTGCGTTGGGGTCTGCACTCAGTGTGGAGCCTGCTGGAGGCTCTCCCCCTCTGCCCCTCCCCTAACTGGTTATTGTACACGCTCTTTCTCACTCAAAATAAATAAATCTCTTAAAAAAAAAAAAAGAACTACACCACACTACAATTCTGTGCCCTTCAAAAATGAAAATAAATGCAATGGAAGTTAAAAAACACCAAGACAGGACCAAAACACCACGTCAGCTGTTACACACAGATCTAAACACCCCAATTAAAAGACTGTCAGACTGGATACAAAACCAAAACAAAACTACTTCCTAATTATAAGAGTCTCATTTTAATTACAAAGAAATAGAAAAACTGAAGATAAAAGACAGTAAGTTTCACTACACAAACACTACCCTTACGAGAAAGTCGGTGGCCGTCTGTATCTGGCAAAGGCGACTTTATTTTTTTTTAATATTTTATTTATTCATTTATGATGGACATAGAGGGGGGGTGGGGGCAGAGACAGAGGCAGAGGGAGAAGCAGGCTCCATGCTGGGAGCCCACGGTGGGACTTGATCCCGGGGCTCCAGGATCACACCCCGGGCCAAAGGCAGGTGCTAAACCGCTGAGCCACCCAGGGATCCCCCAAAGGCGACTTTAAAGCAGTGAGTGCCACTGGAGGTTAAGGACATCTCACAGCGAAGAGCAGGTCTATTTGACAGGAAGAGAGAACAGCCCTAAGCGTGTGCACCGTAGCATGGGTCTGAAATACCTAAATCCAGGGACGCTGGGGTGGCTCCGCGGTTGAGCATCTGCCTAGGGCTCAGGGCGTGACCCCTGGGGTCCTGGGATTGAGTCCCGCATCAGGCTCCCTGCATCGAGCCTGCTTCTCCCTCCGCCTGTGTCTCTGCCTCTCTCTGTGTCTCATGAACAAATAAAATCTTAAAAAACTAAAAAATATCTAAACCCAGAGTGAGCAGAACAAAACAGAGAAAGCTCTACTCCTAGTTGGGAATGAACAGCATCACACCTCTCCCAACAAAAAAGATTTTGCCCGATCAGCTCTATAGAATGCTACGCGCCGGTGGCGGTGGAGTCAAGCTGGAAATAAATCAGGAAGATAAAAAGAAGCAAGTTTACATGAACGTAGGCTAAAAAACCCTCTGATTATATTATACCCAAATTGTAGGAACCTGTTAAAGCAGAACTGGGGAGCGCAGCCCGGGGGGCTCAGCGGTTTAGCACTGCCTTCAGCCCAGGGCATGATCCTGGGGTTCCGCGATCAAGTCCCACGTTGGGCCCCCTGCATGGAGCCTGCTTCTCCCTCTGCCTGTGTCTCTGCCTCTCTCTCTGTCTCTCATGAATGAATAAATTAAAATTTTTTTTTAAAAGCAGAACTCGGGAAATTTATATTTTATGCATAGATTAGAAAAGAAGAAAGCTTTAAAATCAAAGGCCCTAAGTTTATATCTTAAGAAACTAGAACAGAAACAGCAAATTCAATTCCCAAAATGGGAAAAAAAATGAAACCGAAAATGAAGGAGAAAACAAACCATTAACTGCTTCCCTGATGGAATCCCAGCAAATGAACAAAGAGCAAAAACCGGTGACGTCAAGACTGAAAAGTGGACAGCACTACAGACCCTGCAGATACCGAAGACACAGAGGGGTTCTGGTTGGAGCATAGACAATCACGGCGGACCGTAACTTTAGCCGGTTAAAAAAAGACAGATCCACTGCAGAAATCATGCGTAGGTAGAGCCACTACTGCGAGCAGTCAGTCCTGGAGGTTCCCCAAAGAATTTAAAGTAGAAATACGTAACGCAGCAAATCCAGCTCTCGGTGTACAACGAAAGGAAATGGAGTTGGGATCCCAAACATCTGCACTCCGATGTTCAGTGTGTCATTACTAACAAGACGTGGAAATGAAGTGTCATGGGTGGATGGATGAAGAAAGTGTGGTATGTAGTGTGTATTTGTCACCTTTTATTTATTTTTAATTTTTTAAAAAAGATTTTATTTATTCATTCATGAGAAACACACAGAGAGAAGCACAGACACAGGCAGAGGGAGAAGCAGGCTCCATGCAGGGAGCCCGACGCAGGACTCGATCCCAGAATCCTGGGATCATGCCCTGGGCCGAAAGCAGACGGCTCACTGAGCCACCCAGGCATCCCAGTCACCGTTTTTGTTTTTTTGTTTTTTTTAAAGAAAAGCCCTGCCATCTGCAACAACATGCGTGACATTACACACAGAGACAAATGCTGTGTCATCTCTTACATGTAGAATCTAAAACTAAAGGTGAATTCACAGAACCAGGGAGCACACTGGTGGCCAGGGGTGGGGGGGAAATGGGCAGGGTGTACAGGTTCTGGGGGTGCACTGCACAGCCTGGCACCTATAGTTCGCACAGCCCGTGAACCTGAGAGCTGCTAAGGGGGGACCTGTGTTTTCACCGTATGCACACACGGTCAACTCTGAGTTGATGGGTGTGTTCATCACCCTGGCAGTGGGGGGTCTATGTCCTTTGTGTGTATGACCACAACTGAACATCCCAAATGGAAACAAAAAAAAAATTAAATATTTAATTGTAAACATATCAAAGGGATGTGGATGTTGAGAAATCGAGAGAGGCTGGGCTTTAGGTGAGGAGCCCCTGGCAGGTGAGCAGAGGCCAGCAAGTGCTCCGCAGGAGCGGATGGGGCTGGGCCAAAAGAATGCCCGCTGGGGCTGATGCCCGTGTGGGTTGGCGGAATGAACCACAATCTGGAGCAGCTCAAAAAAAATGACAGGTTTTCTCCCATAGGATTGTGCTTCACGCTTGGCTGGTGATGCAGTGTGGGTGGGGGTGGAAAGGCAGAGTGAAATCTGGTCTCTCCATGCGTGGAAGTCCGACTCCTGCTAGAACTCGGGGCTGGCAACGAAAACAAGGCAGCTCAAGACATGAATAAAGTTCAAGACGTGAAGCAGAGGCGAACTAAAGCTCAAGTGGAGACCCAGCCTGGCCAGTGGGCCCACGTCCCTCATCCAGGCCGGCAGAACAGGAAGGAGTGTGCTCTCACTGGGGCAAGTGTGCCTGGTTTTCGATGTTCAGACACAACGTCTGTGATGCAAAAACAATTCTGAAAAGGGAAGTCGGAAAATGTAACCTACAATCAAGAAGAAAAGAGCCAATAGGAGCAGACCTACGGGGGCCGCAGACGTTGAAATCCGAAGTCGAGGGCAAGTCACTGCTGTACATGTGTCAACCAGCACCGAAGTCACGGCGCAGAGGGGCGAAGAGATGGAGGGTTTCACCAGAGAAATCAAATCTGCAAACACAAGTGTGAACTCTAGAACAGAAAAATATCCAAAAAGAATAGACCGGACAGCTTAAGGGCACAGAAAGCACAACAAAAAAGACGAGTAAATTAAAAGCAGAGGGGGGGAAAGACAAGGAAAAAATATTAAACAAAACCCCCAGAGTATCAGAGGCCTTCGGGTCAGGTAACATGGTCCTACAGATCGGTAGCTGGAGCCCTGGGGGGCGGGCGGGAGAGCCACCAGAGGAACCGTCCAAGGCTGATGAAGGACAGAAGGACACCAGCCCCCAGCTCTGCGGAGCTCCGCGAGTGCCCCAGAGGCGAAGTACAGAGAAAACCACGCGGCACAGCCCGGTAACTTAGAGCCTTACAGGCCGCCAGGCAAAAAGGTACGGGCCTTTGAAGGGAACAAGGGTGACAACTCACCTCACATCAGAATCAACTGAATGATGTCTTTAAAACGCCGGAGGGGAAAAAAACAACAAAAAACCCCACCCCACAGAAAACGAACCCACCGGCGAAACTACAGTTCCGTTCCCGACAAAACACCCATTAACGCAGGCAAAGTATTCTCGGGCAGCCCCAAGTTGTGAGACTTCGTTGCGCGAAACCGCAGGCTACAAAAACACATCCCAGGGGGTCCCTTCAGGCTGAAAGGAGAGGGGCCGAGACGGAATCCCCGGTAGCAAGAAGCCTCGCGGGCGCTGTGGAGTCAGGACACGGTCACGTGTGTATACAGAACACGCACGCATCCAAGTGTATCCAACCATTATACGAAACAAATATAACAGGGAACTGTGGGCTCATAACATGTCAGAAATAAAACAAATGGCAAAAATAGCACAAAAGTGGGGTCAGTGGAGAACAGGAAATATCTGTGCACGCCAACACGCATCCGCACGTCTCTATTTTTGCATTTGTCCATCTGCTTCTATATTGGGAGCCACTGTCCGAGCTGACCCCCCTGGCTCTAAGCCCACCCCCAGGGCTCACGCTGGTCTCCTCTCAGGCTTGGGCTTCCGGTGGGTTATCTGTGCTGCTTCCTTCCCACCTTGGGCGCAGGTGCTCACCTGCAGTCACGGCCCGTCCATCCCCCAGGCGAGCCTGCCAGGGCTGCCGCTGGACGCCGGCTCTCTGAGGCCCGGACAGGAAGGCCTGGCGGCACGTGGACCCCGGCTCACGCCCACTCTATACGGAGCTTTTCCAAAGGCTGCTCGGTCGACACCTGGCGCCGTGGGTGGGTTTGGGAAGTCTCGTTGCTGAATCCCGTCGCCCTGGCAAATTACCTTCTTTCTGCCGCAGTCCCCAAGGGCCGCTGTCGTCTTCAGAACTGAATCGTGTTACTAGGAGATGCCTTGTAGGTGGCGGTCCTCAACATTTCCAAGGTGGCCATTCAGTGTGGTTAGGATTTTTCCTCTATCTGGAAAGTTCTCTCCAACAGTGGCTTTAAACGTTGGCTCCTTCAAAGGCTCTGCTAGCGTGCTGCTCCTCCATGGCCTGCCTCCCGCGCCTCTG